TGTTGTTGTTGTTGTTGTTTGAGTCAGAGTCTCACTCTGTTGCCCAGGCTGGAATGCAGTGTCACGATCATGGTTACTACAGCTTTGACCTGCTGGGCTTAGGCAATCCTTTTGTCTCAGCCTTCCAAGTAGCTGGGACTACCGGCATGTACCACCATGCCCAGCTGTTTTTATTTTATTTTATTATTATTTTTTTTTAGTTGGAGTCCCACTCTGTCACTCAGACTGGAGTGCAGTGGCTGCTCCCAGCCACTACAGCCTGGACCTGCTGGGCTTCGGCAATCCTTCCACCTCAGCCTTCAAAGTAGCTGGAACTACAGGCATGCACTACCACACCTGGCTAATTTTTATTTATTTATTGTAGAGATGAGGTCTCGCCAAGTTGCCCAGGAGTGTCTTGAACCCGCGGGCTCAGGCAATCCACTCACCTCAGCCTCCCAAAGCGTGGGATTTCAGGCTGAGCCACCGAGCCTGGCTGTTATTATTTATTGTAGAGATGAAGTCTCACCATGACAGTTAAGAAATTTTTCAAAGGGCTTATCTCACTTGATGAATACCATGAAGTAAAGCTCTATTGAATGATGCAGTAATTCAACAGTTGAACCTCACTAAATGAACAACTTTACACCAATCACCAGTAATGCCTGAGGGCAGGAATTATTTATCAATTGTTATACATATCATAAAACACAAACAAAAATTAAGAGCACTAAAGGGGAGAAAAAAATAAAAATTATCTTTTTCTACTCCTTGATTCAATAATTTATGAGATAAGTATTTTCACATTAAAGCAGAGATGGGAGGGGAGGGACAGAAAGCATGATCTTTGAGGGCATTGATATAATTGAGAACACTGAAAGTTAAGTAAGCCGTATAAATGGAAATTGATGGCTAAAGCCTGAGGGAGTGATCAGTTGCTTTCCTATAGGAAATTTAAATAAAGTCCTAGAAACTAGCTGTATATCTCTAGTCTACATCTCTTGGAACTAAGTAATTGATTTATATTTTAAACACATGTACCATCTTATAAAGAAGGATAGAAATCTGAATTTTTTCCTAGTGTCTCACTTTCTTACTGTACATAGAATCAGATTACCTACTGAAGTAGATATTACTGTTGCACACTTAGCATTCATTTATTATCCTCTTTGCTGCCTTTTTAATATAACCCTAATTTTATACGCTCTTCCCAGAGTGTCTGTGTCCTTTAGAAGAGGCTGGTCCCCCTCCTTAACACTGGGATAGAAATTTTAATTGACCTAAGTTGACCATGAAGGCCTCACCCCCACCACCCCTTGTCAGTGAGAGACATAAGCACTTGAAGTCATTTTAGCTACTGAGATATAAGGTGAAAATATGCTGGGGGAAAAGGGTTTCCTTAGTCTTAGAAAGGGGCAGAGGATAAGAGCGTTCTCTCTCTTTTTTTTTTTTTAACTTCCAGACATCATCTATAACCTGGAACTAAGAGAAATGTTTTAGACCCTAAGGGAAGTCAGACTGGAGAACAAACCAACAGACTTAAAAATGACAGAGCAAAAATAAGGAAGGAGCCTGGGACCTTGACAATATTGTCAAGACACAGAATTAACCAATCCTGGGAATGGCATATCTTCTGTGCATCTAGCTATGCAGAATTTTTTTTATTAAAGGTTTAAGTAATAAGTATGCTTAGGAAAGTTTCCGTTAATGCAGCTGAAAGTATTTTAACTGATATAGCCTCTTTTTCAGCAGTTCCACTCCTAAAAAGCAGACTTCTCAACACAACAATGTGTGGTAGGTTGGATGCAAAAAGATTCCTGCCAAAATTTCCTCCTAAGTTCAAGCTGCTTTTCCCATTAAAGGTAGTGTCTATTTCTCCCTTCCACCAGTCCGGTCCTTCTGTCAATGAAATACTGCAGAAGGAATATGAGTTCCAGACCTCAGCTTGAAGAGAACTAGCTTCTTCCCTCCTTTCACTCTGTTAGAAATCAGTCACCACGTAAGAAAGCTTTGGCTAAACTGCTGAATGGAGAGAGAGGCCTTATGGAAGAGAAGCAAGTAGCTCCAGCCAAGAAGCAGCACCAAGAAGTCAGTGATGTGAGGGAAACTATCTTCAATCTTCCAGCCCCAGTTAAGCCATGATAGCTGACACCTCATAAAACAGAGATTAGCCACCTCTGCTAAGTCCTGCCCGAAATTCCTGGCCACAGAACTGTGAGTAATAAAATATCTGCTGTTTTTAGTCACTGTCTTGAAGTAGCCTATTATGCAGCAGTAGATAATAGAAACACAAAGTAATATTATTTGTCTTCTTGCTTTGTAAAATTGTCTTGGTCATTCACAATGATTAAGATTTAGTGAGTTGTGAATAACTCTCAGTGCTAATGAGCATTTTTTTCCAAATATGTGTTTTAAAAATCTTAGCTCACAAAGGAGAACTTTTTTCTATGTATGTATCACCTTGTTATTTTTCTATGTACTAGCTTTTTTAAAATTATTAAACACAAATGGGAAGATATTTGCAACAAATGAGTTGATTAACAAGTTTAAAAAATCACAAAAAGGAAAAACACTAACAACTAAATTTTTTGAGATGGAAAAAGCCATTTCTCTGAAGAACCATAAATGGTCAATCAAGTTCACTGAGTTAAAACATGAAGCATCAGCCGGGCTCGGTGGCTCAGCCTGTAATCCTGCACCTTTGGGAGGCTGAGGTGAGTGGATTGCCTGAGACAGCGGGTTGGAGACCCGCCTGGGCAGCGAAAACTCATCTCTACAATAAATTTAAAAAAAAATCAGCCGGGCGTGGTAGCGCATGCCTGTAATTCCGTCTACTTTTTTGAGTTGGAGTCTCACTCTGTCGCC